GTCCCTGGGCCAGAGCAAGTGCTCAGGACAATTTTGTCAGGAATATGAACAAATACACAAAGAAACAACTGGTAGCCTGAGGATCAGGTGAGCTCAGGGTTGGACTGAGGGGGAGAAAGCAGCACGTAAGAGTAGTATCCAGGCTGAACAGCTTGCAGACAGGCTGCCTTTGCTAGTCCAGCTGATTGCAGCCTACAAGTGTGTGAGTGTGTGCACGTGCATATCTACAACGTAGGAGACTGTGACCATCTTTTAAAATGAGCTCACACAGCTGGCCCCTCCTCCCATCCTCAAGGCCACCTCCTTGAGTCTCTGCGCAGTTGCCAGAATTCAAGGCCTGGATGGGCCACAGCCAAGTCCATGGTTGCCCCCACAGCCGATGGCATGGAAATGGAAGCAAAGTGGGAGGTTGCTGCTGGGGGTCAGCTGCAGTGGCTCAGGTTATACTAGCAGCCATCTTTCCTGATGAGGTCCCAGGGCACGGTCATCTGTTCACAAGGACTGGCAGCACCCGGTATGCACGGGGACTCTCATTTGCACCTGGGATGGGCCTAAGCATCCAAGAAAGAGAAGCTCTAGTCCCTGAGGGACTTGCTTTGAAGCTTGGCAATGTTGGTGTGATTTCAGGGCCACTGGGAAGCCCTCTCTTCCCCCACATGCATTAATAATGCTTGGAATTCTGCCATTTGAGATTCATTCCTTTGGCTTTGTTTGGTCTGTCAAAATGACAACTCTTGGAACATGTGTGGCCGTGGATCCTTATCAGTTGTTCACCACACAGTGTGAGGGAGAGGTTCAACTCCCTCCTGAGAGCTGGAGTGGACTGTGCATGGTGATGGGGTAGGAGGGGGCTGAAGACAAAAAAGGGAGCTGAAGCAGGTGGGGAGAAAGCCGTTCTGTTCTCAGGTACTGCCCCTCCCTGACCCTGCGCCCGCCCGAGCCCCACTCACACAGAGCCACAGTCATCAAGAGCACCCACTTCTCTGCCGAGGGGATGGCCACAGCACAGGCCCCAGCCCAGACCCACCAGCTTGGTTTGTGGTTCAACTACCTGCTCTCTGAGTGACCTTGGGCAAGAGGCCACGCCTTTCTGGTGTGTTCTCATCTGTAAAATGGGCAAAAAGTGCCTACTGTGTGAATTTTTAACCTAGATTTAGAAAGGAAATACGTGCATGTGGCCCATTATGGCTGGCATGTAGTCAGCTTTATCTTATGGAGGTGCCAGGTAAGGGCACAGCTAAGTGATGCTGTGCAGAGGGGACATCTGGGGAGGTTTCCCAGAGGAGGTATCTGAACAGTCATCTGTGGCTGTGTTGGCTGGTGGGCCTGTGGCCTTGGGTACTGGGTCCCCAGGTCAGTAGATGCTCCACACTCCCAGTTGGTTTGCTGCTGAGAGGGGAGGGAAGGGTGTTAACGCTTGTTAGCTCAGTGCTCAGCACTGGTCTTTTTTCTACCACTCTGGTGAGGCACCAGAGAGGGGCAGCATCCTGGCGGAGGCCACCCAGCTACGTGGGAAGGATCAGGGTTAATGAGGCGACCAGTGCTCTGGAAGGTGCAGGCAGTGCCCAGGGGCAGGGTCCTGCCCCAGCACTTCCAGGCCCCGGCCCCCTGAGCAGTCTCCAGAACCCAGTGCTGCTGTGCCTTCCCCGGCAAGGGGTTGTTTGGCACACCCTTTCATCAGCCTGTGAGCTGACCCGTCTCACTGCCGTCCCGTGTCGAATCTGTTTTCGGGCAGGGCAGCCTCTGCGAGCTTCCTGCCCCGTCACACCAGGCGGGCAGGGAGTCCTCAGCAGCCTTCTCTTTCTGGGTGGGGCCGTCCCTGGGATGGGGGAGCACCGTCCTGGGAGGGAATGGGATGGACTTGGGTTGAATCATGGCTGTGTCTCTGGCCGCACGGCATGGAGGCGTGACTTCCTCCCTGGACCAGAGTCCTCAGGGGCGAGGGGCGATTGTGTTCACGCATCCTCCCAGTGGACGTATCCGAGGTCAGCCGGGCACCCTGCAAGGAGCTCCTGGTGCTTCCCCCTGAGCCCGGGCCCGAGACAGGGAGGAGGGTGCCCTGGAAGAAACGTTCCCTGTCTCCTTGGTGACGGCTCACGGTGGGAAGGAGGCAACAGAGCTCACCCTCCCCCAAACGGTGGTGACCTGTGGAGACAGAAGTCCCAGTTCCTCCCTGAGGGGACTCAGGCCTCACCTGCCACCCCCCACCAAGTTCTGAAGAGGGACCGGATTCCAACCACGCAGGGAAGCCCTTCAGGGGGTGTGCATGTTGCCATGACAACACGTCACTGCCTCCTGCCTGGGAGAGGCTCCTCTGGCCAGGGGATGCGGTCACCTTGGACAGACCAGGGCTGCCATGTGCCCTAAACGTGTTCCTTTAAATCCCCATATAGTCACTGGCTTCTCTCGTGGCGCCTCCACTATGGTCTGTGCATCCCCCAGGGTAACCCTGGTGCCGGGGAGGCCACTTAGGGCCCCTGGCTTCAGTGACCACAGGCTGCCCTGACCTCCCCCTGGCCAGCGTCCTGCAGGCCCTCAGAACCTCCCCTGTCTCGAGTGTCCGGGGAGGAGCGAGGGGTGTGTGGTCAGGAGTGCCTCACCCTTCTCCAGAAGGCCTGCCTTTTACTGAACTACACGCAGCCTTCCAGAAGTTTACCCCTCAACCCCAGATCTGTGCCTGGGATCAGACAGAGGTCTCTTCCCTGCCCCACAGGCTCGACCCACAGGCAGTGTCTCCCTGAGTCTCGTCTTCACAGAACACCTGTCCCCCTGCAGGAATGTGTGTCTGTGAGGCCATGGTCAGCAGGCCCGAGCCAGCAGGACCCACCCTTGGTGAGAGGGAGAATTTCTCTGGTTCTGCCCGCCCCACCAGAAACATGGCACCCCTGCCCAGAGCAAACCATGTCTTAAGCCCACCACACTTAAGGCAGTTCCCGCACAGGCGGACTGGCCTCTAAAGGTGTGACTGGGGCTGTGACTCGGGACTTAGCCTAAAGGGTCCCTCCTCCCAAGCTCAGTGCCTGGCACACAGGCAGGGAGCCATCACTGGTCCTGAAAACACCTCTGAGCACCTGCGGGGGGCCAGTTCCCTGCCAGGTGCTGGTATGCAGAGGTGCCTGGAACACGCCCTGCTCCCAGGCAGAACGGGTCACCTGGGAGATGGACCTCCCAGCCGCACCCCCGGGCGAGCAGGGAGCAGAGAGCTCATACTGGGAGAGGGGCCTCAGGGAGGGTGTCACCAAGGGGTCCCCTCACCTGGGCTTACAGGGAGGAGAAAGAATTTACGCAACAAGGTCTAGGGTCCAGGCAGGCATGTGAGCTGAGAATTGACGTGGGCACCAGTGCAGAGCGTGGAAGTGGCTGGGCAGGGCCGTTGGATCTGCATGTCCACTACTTTCACATCTGCAAACACAGAAACAAGGGTAGCAGACTGTTGTATCCAGGCCCACTGGAGCAGCCTCTGAGTGGGGAGCCGGTGAAACCCAGACGTCAGGACATCTGGATGTCACCTGTTGGGTCCTGCTTTGCACCGTGTTGTAAGCAGTTTTCATGCACGATTGAACATAATCAGTAATTATCTCTGGTTTGCTCCAGCCAGTGGACAAGCCGTTCCCTCTCTGAAGTGGCCGGTGCTAACGGCGCCCTTTCACACATCCGACATCTGGCCCACGTGGGGACTTCCAGGGCCTCCCGGTCGCATCTGGGTTTTGCCCCAAAGTGCGGTGCTAATGTTTTGATTACAGCTCTCATTTGTTCCCTGAAGGCCACGTCTCAGACACTGTTCTGGGGACCTCACCCTCAGGGCGACCCAGGGAAACAGACGTGGTTCTTATCCCCATTTTCCCCACGAGGTGACTGAGGCGTGGAGAGGTTGAATTACTTGCTCAGTGTGACGGAGCCGGTAAAGGCTGAGATTCCAATGCAAGTTTGTCTGATTCGAACAAATGTTCTTTTCTTTGCGCTATGTCAAACCACAGAGAGACCCCTATTGTCTGAGAAATTGAAAATTAAAACCTGGTAAATGTGGTTCCCGCGGACTTAGTTGTGGTTTCACAGCTACTTCGCCCCTGAAGTCTGATTTTTCTTTAATGGACGAGTTTTGGAGTAGACGACCCGGAACACCCCCGCGGTCAGCATGCTGATGGCTGCTTAGAGGCCCCAGGCGAGAGGCCTGGTGGAAAGGCCCGTTCTGTGTTGAATGCGGTTGGTGCCTCCTTCAGGGCTGACCAGGGGACAGAGAGATGGGCGGCGGCCACGCCAGCCCGGACCACGGGGACCAAGCCAGGTGCTCACCTGACTGGTGGCAGGCATCCGAGAAGGGACCCTCTGTTAGGGTTAGAAGGAATTTCATGTAAGGAGAGCTAAAAGGATGTTCCAAAATTTTAGTGGTGGCTCACCGTTTCAAAACTCTTCTTGAATCCTGGTCTTCTCCTTCACAGCTGATCCGTGACTGAGCGCTTCATACCAGTGATTATCCAATGAAGCCAAAAACTCTCCACCTTCAGGGCCTCTCCTTCTCCCTCTCTTTTTCTCAGTTCTGTTAAGGATATGAGCTCTTTGCATCTTACTCCTGGTATTCGTATTTTCCTGTTCTCTTTTGCATACATGTTGGTAGAAGTCATGCATTCGTTCATTTAACAGAGATTTATTCATTACTGCTATCTGTCCAGCCCTGAGCAGGCACTGGGGAAGCAGGAGTGACAGCTTGCACACGTGTGTGTCCCGCTGAGCCCGTGGTCTAGCAAATCCACCCACGTGTGCAGAGAATTTTATCTCCAGCGCAAGACTGGTGGGTGAGCAGCCGCACCAGCATGCGGGAGCTGTCAGTGCATTCGCTGGCTAGTGTACAAGAGTTCAGACTATATGAAGGGTGACCAAGGGGTGTCAGTGTATAAATTAAAAGTGCACCTTGCCCCTTTGCTTCTGCTGCTTGGCGGGCTTCTCTGCACGCCCGCTGCAGCAGGCATGCCTTCTTAGAATGCCCCGCTTTGTCTCCGCAGGCCTCCTGCCCTGAGCGGCAGCCCAGTCATCTCCGACATCTCGTTGATCCGGCTTTCCCCGCACCCCGCCGGCCCTGGGGAGTCCCCCTTCAACACCCCCCACCCGTACGTGAGCCCCCACATGGAGCATTACCTCCGTGCTGTGCACAGCAGCCCCACGCTCCCCGCCATCTCTGCGGCCAGGGGCCTCAGCCCCGCTGACGGTGAGTAGGGCCTGGGGTGCTGGGCGGCCGGGCCGCTACTCTGACACTGTGGATTCCCAGCCTCAGCCCCCTGGATAGTGAGTAGGCTGGCATTCCTCCCCGCTACCCATGAACAACAGGTTTTTAAGTGAATGATGGTGAAAGCCAAGAGAATTTGGGTTTTGCCCTCATTTAAGAGCTATTTGTAAACACCCTTTTTCCTACAAATTGTAGAATAATAATAGTAAGGTCTGTTTAACCATGTAGGTCCTATCCTAAGTGAGAGCTTTTTGGTTGCAATAAACCAGAGTCTGCAGAATCTGGTGTTAAGTTAAGGGGATGTTGTATTGGGGTGTCTCCTGGGCCCCAGAGCAGAAGGAAGGGCTGGTTCTGCTTGCTTCTCTGCTTTATGGCCCCTTGCAGAGCAACACGGCCTCCACATGGCTCCCGGGAAGGCTCCCCGGATGAGCACCAGTGTCTCGTTGTCTCCCGGGTCAGATGCTTGGGAGAGAATTGATTGGCCCAGCTAGGAGATCACATGGCCACCCCATCCAATTAATTTGAAACAAAAAAGGGCAGGGTCACGTGGTGCAAATATGGTCTTCATGTTTTTCAAAATATGGTATAAAATTTTATATACTTCTAGCCCCTGCCCCCACCCCACCAATGCGTACATGCATGCGCACGCACGCTCATACTAGACAGTGGTCAGCATATTTGGGAGCAGGCCCGCCTGTGCTGTCTTCCTGGGGAGTGCTCCCACCCCACCCCCAGCATGGAGTAGGCATTATCTACTGCCCCGTGCTCCCCACAGTGCCCCGCCAGCTCCTCATTGCCATCTTCAAAAGCAACCAGGCTGCCCCTTCTCAAAATCTATCCACTAAAACCTTCCCTCTTGGCCAAGAGTCAGTTCCAGGCTAGAGGACGTGGGCAGCATGTGCCCCTGAGCCCATGGGCAGAGGCTCAGGACACATGTAGCAGTGGGTCCCTCATCACCGTCTCCATCCTCACCAAGGGGAATATGTCCTCTCCCAGCTCAGCGTGACCGCAAGCTGAAGCCGAGGCCTGCATCAGAGAAGGCTCAGGCTGGAGCTTCACAAAGGAAAGGCTTCCAGCCTCTGACTGTGCAGAAAGGCCCCCTGAAGCCTTGGGCCCATCTTCCTGGCCATGCAGTCTGCACTTTGCCTGGCTGCCACCAAAGAGAAACCAGACAAGGCGAATGGTTGCAGCCACAGGACGTGAAAGCAGCCAGCCAAGATGTGGCCATTCTCACATGGCCCTTTAGGCTTGGAACCCAGCTCTGAACTCTGCTTGGGTCTCCTGAGTGGCCTTGGGTGAGCTGGGGTCCCCTGAAGGGTTTGGCTGTGTCCACATTGAGCCACCATCTCCTGGAAAGTGGACCGTGCTTCTCCACACCTCTCCTGACCACTCAGCAGGCGATGGGCTCGCCCGGAGTGTGAGGATGCAGGCCAGGCTCCACATGCTGTCTCAGCCTCGACATTTACACATGGCATACTGGGCTCCACGGTCCATGTCCTAATTCCCGAACCTGAGAGCGTTTCCTCCTTGGAAAACGGGTCCTTGCAGATATGATTCAGTTGGGAATTTTGAAATGAACAGATCATCCTGGATTATCCATGTGGGCCTTAAATCCAGCGATAAGTGTCCTTGTAAGTGACACATAGATGAGAAGACAGCGCAAAGATGGGAGTGATGTGGCCACAGGCCAAGGAAGCGGGCATGCCCAGAAGCTGGAAGAAGCCAGGAACAGATTCTCCTGAAAGCTGTGGAGGGAGTGTGGCCCTGCTGACCTGGATTTGGGCCTTCTGGCCTCCAGCACCGGGAGAGAATGCAATTCGGTTGTTGTAACAGCAATTATCACCACGTCTGTACTAACAGGTTACAGCAGCCCTGGGAAACTAACGCAGGTGGTAAAGGTGGGATTAGGGGGGAGGAAGAACCTGGCAGCTGTCCCGAGGCCCGGGTCAGAGAGGGTCCTGAACGATGTCTGGAGGAGAGACGAGGAAGAGGGCCCTCCTGGAGATCCGATGAATCAAGGACACTGTGGTCTCGGCCGACAGTGGTATAGCCCACGAAGAGCCACGTGGTGAGACAGGGCGGCCCTTGAAGGAGAGACTTTCAATTGATGGACCACTGATTCTATGCCTGACCTCCACATAAACATCCATGGGGCTCCTACCGCACCCATTTACCCCGGCCCCAGCCCCTTGAGATGGCAGGGATGGGTTCATCGCCAGCAGGGACTAATTGGCATGGCCCTGACCCCAGCAAGGGGTGAACCAGATACCCTGAGGCCTTGCTGGCCTTGGACCAAGCTCCCAAGTGAGTAGAGATAGCATGACAGACCCGTGCGTCCTCTGTGCCACCCCAGAGCCTACCCACAAAAGGCCTAGAAAGTTCATCAGCGATCTGAGGCAGACCGTGTGTGCACTGAGGATGAATGGGCATCCAGGAGGGCTTCAAGGAGGAGGCGGACAGGCAGGCAGATGGGAGGAGGGCATTTCAGGCAGGGACAGGACAGACAGAGGCTGTGGGCGTCAGCCTGGCTGCAGGCCAGGCTCTCTCGAGGATCCAGCAGGAGAGGGTGAAGGGGGATGGCTGCTCCATTGACCGGCTTCCTCTCACTGCCCAGCGCACTGAGATCTCTTCTGATATTTGCCAAGACTAATAGCTGAGAGGCCGTGAGGCACGGGGTCAGGAACTTGGGCTCCAGGTTTAAACTCCTTGCTGTGTGACCATGGGCAAGATCTTTAACTCTAAGTGCCAGAGTCCTTCTATTCTAAGGGGAATGGCACCAGTGCCCCTCGGCTCAGTGTGGTGGGGACAGTGAGATTAGAGAATGAGCGTGACTCCCTCAGCACTGCACCTGCACACACCCAGCGAGCGCTCAGCAGTGTTAGCTGTCACTGTCGTTTTTAACAGTAATTTGGGTGGTGAATATTCTTGCCCCCATTTTACAGGTGGAAAACTGAGCCAGCTCAGAAGTGGCCCCTGCCCAGTTTTCACCCCTGGATGAAGCCAGGACTCCTGACGGGGATGTTTGGTTTCCAAGCTCCATTCCTCCCCTGCCGCTGCACCCCTATGTGCCGGGCCCCCTCAGGATCCTCTGGAGCCGGGCCCCCTGCCTCTTTGCGAGGCCCCAGCAGGGCTGGAGGTGGACGGCCCGGGGCCTGCAGCTGTGGGACAGACGAGCAGCTTTATCTGGCCAGGCTGGGCGAGCTCTCTTGCGTGTTCAGGCGAGACTTACCTGGCCAACTGTCTGGCCACCATGATGCCTCCATTTGCATCTTCTTGTTGCTTTGAAGACTGTCCTGGACCATGGAGCCTGTCAGCCTGGAGCTCTGGGCTTGTGTGGGGCCTGGAGTGGGGGGACGAGTGATCATTCGCGGCCTCGAGGTGAGGGAGGAATGAGGGGTGCAGAGGCCTCCATCTGGCCTCCCCGTCAGCAGAAACACACCCCAGCCCACGCTGTCTGCTTGGTGCCACAGGGAGCAGCGGGGGAGGGGACACAGGGACCTAGGGGCTGAGGATGGCACTGAGCAGACTCCTCAGGCCAGGGGTGTGTTTCCCCTCTTTGTTGCCCATTCTGACGGCCTCTCTCTCTCCCTCCCCCGACAGTGGCCCACGAGCACCTTAAGGAGAGGGGACTGTTTGGCCTTCCTGCCCCCGGCACCCACCCTTCCGACTGCTACCACCAGATGACCCTCATGGCAGGCCATCCCGCTCCCTACGGGGACCTGCTGATGCAGAGTGGGGGTGCCGCCGGTGCACCCCATCTCCACGACTACCTCAATCCAGTGGATGGTGAGTGCTGGACCGGGTGGGGACAGGGAGCCGGACAGAAGATGGGGACTGATGGTACTTGGCTGGGGCTGATGGGGGCACTCGCTGCTCCTTTTGGGGGTAAGGAGCCCTGAGGAGGGGTCTGGGCTTTACCCCAAGCCCTGCCACGACTGCTGTCCACAGGGACGAGTCTGAACAACACACACAAATGCTTGGTGAGTCACCATGGGCCAGGAAGTGTTTTCGGAATTGCAGACACCCCAGGGAACAAAGCATAGTAATCTCCGCCTTCATGGAGCCTACAGCTTAGGGGAGAGACAGACAAAGCTGGGAATGGGGTGGGGGCCCTAGGGGGAGTGGGGGTGCAATCTTGAGTGAGGAAATCCTCACTGCAAAGACGCTGTGCAAGTGAAAAATTGAAAGAGGTGAGCCATGCAGAAGTGTGTGGGAAGAGTAATCCAGGCAGCGTGAACAGCAAGTGCAAAGGGCCTGAGGCAGCAAGGTGCCTGCTGAACACAAGAACACCCAGGAGGCCAGTGTACCTGGCACCCAGTGAGTCAGGGGCAGGAGTAGGGTGGGGCCGGAGTTCCTGGGCCAGGCCTGCAGGCTGGGCACGGCGTGGCAAGATGCCAGCTTTCATCCGGAGTGAGATGGGGCCCTTGGAGCCAGTTGGACAGAGGAGTAATGAGATCTGACTTATTCTTAAAAGGAATCCCATTGTAGCTGCAGGTCTGAGAATAGATTCAGGAGCACGGTGGAAGCAGGGGCTCCAGTTAATAGAGGTGGGCAGAAGCAGTCATATTTCAGATAGATTTTGAAGGTAGAGCCACAAGATTTGTTCCCAGATCGGATGTGGAGTGAGAGAGACAAAAAGGTGCTGAGGACAAGCCCAGGGTCTCGGCCTGAGCAGTGGGCGGACGGAGCTGTCGGTTAATGAACGGGAGGCTGCAGGCAGGCATGTCTGGTGGGGTGGGGCATCAGTGTTCTGAGCAGATGAAGTTCTTGATGCCCATTAGATGACAAGTTCTTCCCTCCCACCAGATGCCATCCTCACAGCAGCTGTCACAGGGCACCTGCAGCCCCGACCGTGAGCCCCTGGGGGTCAGCATGGAGCTAAGGGTCCCTCCCCTGTCCCCCGTCAGTGCCCTTCTACCTGCTGGTCCTGGAGCCCAGCCAGGTCCCCAGGGCTCCAGGCCAGACCATGGAGCCGGGAACCACACCGAAGCAGGCAGGTGGCCCCTGCCTGGGACGTTGTCTTCATTCCCCGATGGCAGGAAGCAGACAGAGGCTGCAGGGAGACCCACCCCACAGGGGAGTCCTGGTGTCTGTGGGGCCAGGCAGGGTGCAAGACTCAGGGGGGCACCTGCACCCCTCAGCCCCCGCCTGTGCCCCCAGTACCTTGCCCTGTGCTTCCTGTCCACACCAGCCACGGCAACTCTACCTTATTGGCTGGAGCAAAGCTGAGCCCCTCACTTCTTAAGGCCTGACTGAGAGCTCACCTCCTCCAGGAAGTCTTCCCAGATGCCCCTCCCTCAGCCCCCCTCCCTCTGGCTCCCACTTCCCTCTCTGTCTGCCCTGTGCACCTCACACGTACAGGAGCCACCTGATGTGGTCCCTGCGCCCCCTGAGCATTCCCTGTGCTCCTACAAGAGTATCACTGGGGAAGAGCATTGCAGCCCTTCTAGCGCCAGCCCTCCTGGGTATCAGGCCCGACAGTCCCTGAGAGGAGCTCACAGTGTGACAGAGGGACCAGAATGGGATCCCTAGGTCTGGCCCCGCCCCCCATGCCTTCCCAGGATGGGGCTTGGTCCAGGCGCACAGTGCAGGGTGTGAAGTGGGGCCCTTCGGCTCCCTGAGCACACTCACTCGAGTGCTCTCTTCTCTCCTCCTCCTAACAGCCCTTGGTGCTCCCGCGGGGAGCGGGAGCAGCGTCAGCACATGGCAAGGGGAGGGCTCGGGGGAGCTTATATACTTGCTACTTGCCAAAATCAGAAGCCAGACAACAGGGACAATACGGTGCGTAGCGGTCCTGATACCATGTTCCCACAGCCACATCCAAACGTCAGATTCCCCCAAGCAGGGCCTGCCCTCCAAGGCCTCGGGGTGGCTGGCACCAGGCCAGGTGGACAGTGGGCAGACACAGAGAATCCATGGCCGAGGGGTCTGGTCAGGCAGGTGTCCCCAGAGGACAGGAGAGGCCAGGTCAGCAAACATGAGTGCCTGCTATGTGCATGTGAGAGCGAGAATCTGCTGGGCCAGATGTGTTCCAGCTTAGCCCAGAGCAGCCGGCTTGGAGCTGGGGTGCTTGCAGGGGTGACAGTGAGAAGAGGGGCTGCACAGGGAGCTGTGGGCAGGTCTAGACCTGGGCCTAGTGTGAACTTGGCTCTGTGCCTGGCATACAGTAGGTGCTCAATTAATGCTAGTTCCGATCTCTTCCCACCAGTACCCTTTTCCCTCTCAAATCTACCGTCTCCTGCAGGATTTTGTCTCTCAATTGTCCGCACCACTGTCCACCCTGTGCCGAAGCCCAGGGCCACAAGTCCTTCTGGACGCCTTTCCTCTCCATCCCGTCCATCCCATCCCCGAGGCCTGCCGTGTCTGACTTGTCAACCGTCCTGGCCATCTGGTTACTTGCCACCCTGCCAGCGCTTGCACCCTGTGCTCCACCGCCTCACTGCGTATGCAGTTCCCAGAGCACTCCCCAAGTGCCCTTCCCGGCAGGCCTGCCTGGCTCTGTCCTGCACCATGTCCTAGGACTCAGGGCAGACGGCGCCTCTCCGGGGGTACCACCCCAGTCCAGCCTCCGCCCAACCACGTCAGCTCCCCTCGGGCTCCTGCACCTCCCTCGGTGCCCACCTGCGGGACCCGAGGCACTCCGGTTGTGACTGGCTGGTACTTTGTCAACAAACCAGTGAGCCCCACAGGTTCGGAGCAGGGCTGCCAAGGGGCAGGCCCTGTGTCTGTAGGGTGAGTGAGTGAGTGACAGTCGCTAAAGAACCTGGAATGGAAAGATGCAGGCTAATTAGGATGAAACTGCCGGGGCAAGCAGCTGTGGCTTGCAGGAAGCCTGGAAGGGGCTGGAACACAGCAGCTTTGTTCTCAGAGCCGCTCTGCGTTTGGCAGCATGTGGGGGCTGAGCATCTGAGAACCACCAGGAAGGCGGGAGGAGTGAGGTGAGCTCACCAGTGGGCTCCCCATCAGCCGATTAACTCATCAGACCCACCTGTGATCCTGTCTCCACCTTGCGCCTGGGGGACGTGATTGGCTTCAGGGCACAGAGGGCAGCATCCCGCTTCCTTCCAGCCTCAGCCGGAGCCAACAGATGGGTTCTCCACTTCTTGGGCTGAGGCATGGGGTAGGGGTGGGGGGTCTTCTGAACCCCGATGGATTTCAGCCACAGACGATTTCTTTTTCTTTGTTCCCAATCAGTTCTGATCCAAGGAAATCAGAGCAGTCCCGCCTGATCTCCTGTTATTTGTCGTTATTTAATCTGGTTTTTTTCTGAACCAGTTTAAACTGGAATCAGAACCTTTGCTTCCACTTTTTAGAACATTTTAGGCATTTCTGTTCAGCCCCAGTGCCCACATCATGTGTTGTTCCCATGTATCCCTGAGAGGCCCGTGCCGGGCGGAGCCCAGGCTGCCTCGGGGCTGTCCCCGGTCCCTCCCCTCCTGTGAACTGTGGGACGGCCCTGTGTCTTCCGCTGGTCCCGGCTGCACGTGTGAGGAGAGACGCTCCCGGGAAGGTCCAGTCCACCGAGGCAGGTGTGCGTGGAGCTTCCCGTGGAGTTTCTTTTGCTCAGGATCTCACAGAGAAAACTGTGCAGCCAGGGGGCGGGCAGCACAACTCCGGAGACCACCTGCGGAAGGTCCTGACTCCCAGGGGACATGTGTTGTCATGTTAGGAAGGCTCCATAACCATGGCCATGATGCATGAGCCCTGTGTGTGTGCAGGGGCGTCCAGAGCTTGCGGGAGGTTGGGGAGACTGGGCCTTCCCTCTGTGTGTGTGTGTGTGTGTGTGTGTGTGTGTCTGTGTGTGTCTGTGTGTGTCTCATACGCACACACACACACTCACTCTCTCTCTCTCTTGTTCATTCTCGGGGTATTTACTGAGTACCTGCCATGTGCTGGGGCACAGAAGTGCACAGGATGCCAAGTCCCACCCTCGTGGTGCTCACGCTCCAGCGTGTAAGCCCATCCTGAGGCCACCCCGCCTGCCCCAGCCTCCTTTCTCAGCACCTTCCCTTCACGTTCCAAGAGGAGGCACAGATGTGGGGGAGAGAACTTTCCAGAGGCTCTGAACATCGAGCTGGGGCATGGAGATGGGGTCTGCCAGGCTGTGGGGTGACCTGAGGCGGAGTGTGCAGGAAGGCCACCTGGGCCCACCTCCAGCAGAGCAGGGTCCCCAGCCTGCTCACCGGCAAACCACCAGCACAACTTTGACCTTAGCCGAGTGCCATCTGCACCGTTATTTATTTAAGATTATATTTTTAAAAGACTCACTTTTGGGCGTTAAATAAATGGATCTTAAAATGGAACTTTATTATTTTTTTCTGAAATGGGGAACCTGATAATACCCAAGGAAGATGGCCCTGTGTCTGTCTCCGTCCAGCCTAAAATAACCTCGTTTGGGTCGTGGGTACGTCCTGGGTTGAGGGCAACCCCGCAGCAGTGGAGGGCAGGCTGGAGGGTGGAGAGGCCTCTGATGGGGCTCTCGTGGAACTGAAGGACCGGGCCCTGCCTTCCTCCAGGCACAGGGCCAGGCCGGGCAGGACAGGGGCCCTTTCCCGTGAAAGCCCACCCTCCCACTGCCCGGAGCTGCTTGTCCGCGGGGTGGCTGATGTAGGCCCGTCGCCGCTTGTTCTTAAAGGAGCTGATTTATAGCAGGAAGAGCGAGGAGGGATGCTGCGTCGGAGGTAATAGATACCTCGTGAGGGAGCCTGAGGTTCTCGCTCTGCCTAGTGGGCCTCTGGAGAGACAGGAATCCACTGGTTGTCACCAGGGCCCTGAGATGGAGTTTT